CCAAGCAACGTCGCCTCGAGCCTCGACTGCGTGCGCAAGACGCTGGAGATGCTCCGGCACTTTGAGGCCGACCTCACGACGCACGACCTCATCACATTGCACAAGGTCGACCTCGCGATCGACGCGCTCGCCAGCGACGCCTCGGATCTCTGCCACTAAGCTCCTGGTTCCTATTTAATAATTTTGTATTTTTCAATGGATTATCATTTTGTCTTACATACAATGTACAGTTGAGATCTATAACTACAGAGATACAGGTCGACCAGCGATCGCGTCGGTGTACACGGAGGTGCGGCGGTCGCAGCGGCGGTGGGTCACCTCGGGCACTTCTTCGCGGCTCCCGACGGCGTCGTTTATGAGATCGGCTTTTGCGCAACTACTGATATCTCGCCGGGTACCTGCATGCGGTGGGTCGCCTATTATCCGGATTTATTGATGCATGTCAACCGCGGCTGAACCCTCCTCTGTGTTGGACAGTATTTACACAAGTCGCAGGAGAGACTTTATACTAGTATTGTGTTACGGTTGATGGAGCTCAATGAACGCTGTCCAGCAGGCGATGACTTATGGCTCGGTCGCTTCCTTGGCTGCCTGCTTCTTCTTTTGGTTGGCCTCGTAGCGCGCGCGGTGCCAGTTGCCGACCTCTTGGTCGGTGATGCCGCAGTCGCCCACCTTCCACGCAGAGAGGACGTTGTCGGGTTTGATCATAATGCCCGAGTGCTGCTTGGCGACTACCGTTCGCGTGTCCTTGTCGTACACTAGGACGCGCGGCGCCGACAGCGTGTTGTACTCGTCGTCTTTCGAGAGCACGTTGTTGAGGTCATCCGCAATGGCGACAAGGTCGCTGCTGTGCTGGAAGGCAAAGAACGAGGTGCCTTTCGTCGTAGCGCGTGCAGCGTCGGCCGTCGCGTCCAAGCTGTAGAAGAGCACCGAGACGTCGTTTGGGTTGGCCTTGGCGAACGCATCGAGCATCGGCGTCAACTGCGGGAGGCGGTCGTCCTCGGGCTTTTGCGCCCACTTGGCATCCACGTAGAGCACGACGAACCGGTTGAGCGCGTCGAAGCTGGTCGCAGCGCCGGTGGCGTCGACGATCGTGTCGAGCGGGAGCTGCGACATGAAATCGATGCACGGCACGTCAGGGTACCGGAGACTGCCCCAGTACGCGTACACTTGCTCTTGCGTAATGTCGGTGCCCGCCGCCCACATCGAAAGGAGCTGATCGGGCACGAGGTGCAAGGCCACGGCGACGTTCTCCGAGTGGACCTTGCCCGTGTCGCGGTCGATGGCGAACATGGCTGGAATGCACTGCAGCGACGGGTACGCCTTTCCAAGGCGCGCAAACGTCGCGTTGTTCTCGGCGTGCCACGTAAATTTGTTGTACCGGGGCTTGTCGCGCAGAGCAAACGCTTGCATGTCAGCGTTGAAGTCGCGACCAAAGTACACGACCGAGACGTCATTCGGGTGCTCCTCGAGAAACTTGATGAGCGTCGGCGCGAGGGCGCGGCACGGCTCGCACCAGTAGGCCGAGATGAGAAAGAGGACCGTAGGGTTGAGGTCTGCGATTGCCACGGGTTGGCCATTGCCGTCGACGAGGTCACCGAGCGTGTTCTCGGCGCTAAAGAGGTGGGCCCAAAAGCCGTCGTAGTTGGTCGTGGTCATGGTGAATTTGAAAATGCGCTCATGTGTCGTGGGGACCGATCTGCAGATACACTGGATTTCATTTGCCTTGGTGCCATTGCAAGTCGATCTGAGTTGATCGAGGCGATCGTGGAGCCATGCAGAACGATCCGCGAAGGTGTCGGTTGGCCCACAGCTTTCGCGGCCTCGAACAAGGCGTGGGATCTGTGGGATCTCATTTCTGGATTCGTTTTTGCGTGTTTGACACTGGTCAGAGTGGTACGCCGTGAGCGACACCAAAAAGACACGATGAAGCACATCGACGACGACATGCGAGCAGTGACCAAGCGAACGTGCTTTGAAGCTTCGATTGGATGGACGCATGGACTCACCAACGTGGTCCACGACCCTACAACATGACAGGACAGTCTGACCGGCGTATTCCAGCGACCAACACATGTTTTCCACTTGCAAGCCGCCGTTCTCACCTTCACCTTGTGCGACCATCTTTGACAAAACGTTCGTGGCTGTCTGAGCTTAGCTCTAGACCACAACGCGAAGGCGATGGACCATCGCAAGCCTCGTCAGCCTCGAACGCACTTCCCGTGTCTCGAAGAGCCTCTGTACGGAAGCGGATCATCGTCGCAATCTAGTTGTACTCTGATTCGATGGTCGTCGAAGGCGCCGTTTACGTATTTAGATTGCAACTCCATGCATTCTTCATAACACCAGGTGCGACTCGGGGGGCGCCTTGACCTCTTGTTGAACTGGTGAGCCGCATCAGTTGTCGACGGTTGCGGCAACGGCGTGGCGCGCAACCCGTTGCGGTGCGTTGTCCAAGGTAAATGCGGGAATCGATGCCTCTTCCTTCTCCTCGTCCTCGTCCTCGTCCGACGTGTGCAAGGGACCTTCTTGGCGCACACGCGGAGCATCGCTGCTGGCCGTGCGACTGCCATTTTGGCGCTTCAAACGCTTGTACTCGGTGAGGCTCCACCCCGCCGACCAGAGCGGGTCCGTGTCGAGTTTCAAAAAGGCATCGAGCGCCTTTGTCCCGTCCCATGACAGATCAGCGGCGATGAGCTCGCGCAAGAAAGCTTCCAGCTACGCTTCCCATGAGCACCGAGACCCATGCGAGGCGTCGCACCATGGCTTGGCGGGTAGCGAGGTGCTGGCGCGTCGGTAGCACGTACGGGACTTGCATCGCCTTGGGCGGGAACGGCGCGGCAATCTTGCCGAGGTCGTTCGACGCCGCCAGCTGCGAGTGAATGAACCGTCGTCAGTGCACTCGAGAGCGCTCTACCTGCTGTTTGAGCTTGTGAAAGTCAGAGTACCGGTACTCGTGTCGGCGAGTGCTGTTGCGCACCGTGCACTGCACGCCAAAGCTCTACGACCCGTCGTCACAAGCCACCATTCTCTGCAGCCTTACCACATACGGCGCACCCGACCAGCCCGCCTTGTGGATGTCGTAGTTGGCCACGCTCACTGTCACGCCAGGCGTCTTGCCCATGTTGCAACCTGTTGTAAAATGGTTCCAACGGCTAGCTACTCGAGGGCAGCGTCCTTGCATTTTGAGTAGTCTTTTCCGAAGAGGATGCGTGTCAACGGCCGCAGAAGCCAATAATAATGTCGCGGACGATAGTACATGATGGATTACGACGTGCGGTTTGCCATTGCAATTGCCGTGTACTTCATACCGTTGGCGCCAACCTTCTTCTTGCGTTCTTCGGCCTCGATCTCGCGCTGCTTGAGCTCCTGTTGCCGCTTGTGCCAATACGCTTGCTTGGCCGCTTGGTCTTTGACCATCTGCTTGAGGCTCGTCGGCGTCGCAGGGCCCTTCTTGTTGGAGCCGTTTGCTTCCTGCTCGGACTGTACCTGCTCGCACACAAACTGGAGCGCCGTGACCCACGCATTACGCATGTCGGCCGACTCGGCCTCGAGCTCGAGGAGTACGTCGCCCTGCATCGAGAGGATCTGGAACGAGGTCGTGCCCACGGGCGTCACGGCCTTGATCGCGCCGACTTCGATCTCGTTGGGCTTGGCGCCTGTCGCCTGCGAGTCGGACGTCCAGAGCAGCACCTCGTCCGAGTCGGGATGCAGCTGGAGGTTGACGGCCTCGGCGCCCGTGTGGAGCCCAAAGGTGTACTTTTTGCGCTTGAAGACGCCGCCGAGGCGCAGGAACGTGAGCCGCTCGTCGTGCTCGCGGATCGCTTGGCACTGCTCGAGGCAGTTGAGGTTGCCCATCCCAAGCCGTTTTTGTCGCGGTGGGAAATAGAAACCCACGTGGGATTTTGATCCACACTAATAGATGTCAAAACAATATAGTGTGACTATCCCAAGACCATCCCAGCTCGTGCATGGTGCCCACCGCCGCCCTACTATTCCAGATTCCTCGCGTTCGTCAACTGGATAGGTACTATCCAGCATCTCGTCTCCATGATCCAGTTGCCGCGCGTCGCCGTCGTCGCGCTGGAATCGTCAACGCTGAAAATGGCGCCAACTCCTAATGAAGCGCCATCTTGTCGAAAGAAAAGAAAGGCAGTTTCACCTTGCGCATCAGTGCAAACATCATCATACAGGTGGGATGCTGAGCCCAGAGGTGACCGCGGACTACCGCGTGGCGCCACCGACACGGCCGAGCCCCAATCCCATGCTGTCACCAAGCATGAAAGACATTCAACGGCAGCTCCAGCTCGAGACAGCACCGAGTGTCGACGTTGAAGGCGTCATCTTGAGCAGTCTCGACGTGGCTGCCGAGTGCTTGTCGCTCACAGGTACTGCCGTCATCACCAGAATCTGCCACGTGTAAGTGATCGCATCAGATGCCTTTGAGCAGTCCAAGATGCGACGCAGCTACGAGATGCACGTCAAAGAACTCATCGACCGCGTCGGCATGCACCGAATGACGCTCCGCTTCCTTCCGCAGTACGAGGCTGTGTTTGCGCGCATGTTGCACCGCGCAGCGCTACGGCGCATCCGGTACACGCTCCTTCTCGGGTGCATCAGTCTTGTGGGCAAAACGCTCTACACCCAGTGCAACGGCACGCCAGCGCCAGCGGTTGAAGCATATTTTCCTAGTGTTTCAACTAATCGGCTGAGTGTAGTCGGTCGTATGGATCGGGACCGGATTCGCCTTGTCGGCCCTCGCCATCGCGTTTGGCTGCACGTACCGCGAGGCCTGGACAGGCTACTGCGAGCTGTACACGTCGTTCGCGTTTGTCGTCGTCGCCGCCGAGCTCACGGTTCAAAAACTGCTGCTCCATCACCCCGGCCCGATCCTCGAGCTCTTCGTGTGCTTCATCCCGATCTTTGGTATCACGCGTCTGCGCTTCGACGTCGCGTGGCGGGTCGTGGCCGCCACCATCTCGACGCACCTCATCGCGCTCCTCGCAGCGGGGCAAGAGACCGTGCCGGACATTGGCTTCCAAGCGTGGGCGTTTAGTGATATCGAAAGATGTCTCATCGATGCCCGTAGGTTCAGCTACCTCGGTGGCATTGTGGGCGGCGCCGTCGCGCACTACCGCGTCGAGGTGCTTCGCCGACGCAACTACACGCTGCACTTGCCGTTCTACCCGCGCGAGCTGTACCGCTACGAGATCTTTAGCCAGTGCAAGGCGCCCGCGACAAGCAAGCACGCGCTCTTGCACCCGTACGAAAATCCTATCATTTCATAGTGTATACTGATCCCAATGCGTAGGCTCACATTGCAGTTTAAACACCCGGCGATTGAAGCGACGTTCTACCGTCATTGGTACCTCTTGGACGGATCGCCGTTCGAGCCGCTCGACAATCGGCGCCTGCACAAACACGCCTTCCACGCCATTCGATATGCTGTCCAGAGCGTCCTCTTCCAGCAGCTCCTCCTCGCCATCCAAGATCGACAGTCGTTCCTTTCTTCAGAGCACGCGCATTCTAAAACATCGCGTAGGTATTTGATGGTGCCCGACACGCCTCTGTGGCCGTACCACGCGGCACTCGCCTTGCGCATGACCGTAGTCGCCGCCTACTTTGGCGCCCAAGCGTGCATGCACCGCCTCGGCCGCGCGTACTATGAGACATCCGCGCTGACCGGATCGCCTGCCCTTTTGGAGGATGCACCCGCGCTGCTTGAAGCTCCACCGCGTACGTACGTCCACCGCATGCAGCAGCTGTCGACCGGTATTGTGTTTGGCCACGTGCTGAGCATGGGCAGCATCCTGCTTTTTTGCACGCTCTCGTCAATCGCACAGCCCGTGGCCGCGCCGTGCTACTACCTCGGCCTCCTCAACGCGATTCTGTTCCCGCACCGATCCGGGCTGCGCGTCCGGTACCACCAATATTCGCGTGGGTGGTTGATCGATGATTGACATGTTCGGGGTAGGTTTGTGTACGCGACGGCGGGAACGGTCGCCGCCGCCGTGGTGTTTGTCGGTGTCTGCACGGTCGTCGCGCCCACCCATGTGCACGAGTACGGCGCGTTCGTTGCCATTGTCCTTGTGCTCGGCATGCTCACGAGCTACGAAGAGGAGGCGCTTCGTCGGTCGTTCTTTGTCCGTCGGTCGCTCCGGACCCACGATTTCTTCCAATGGCATCGCGCCGTCCGCCGCCTCGTGCCATTTGTGCGCCGCCGATTGGCGAGAACGCGAGGCCTGCCGCGGCTTCAGGTGACGCCGCTGACGTCGACCATCTTGGGTCCGACCAAGATTCCCACGTGCAATCTCTTGGCCAAAGCCAGTCGCTGCGGTATGTACTGGGACATTTGCCAAGTCGGCGTCGCTGTCGTGCTCTTGGTGGCCGCGACCAGTCAGTAGGACTCAAGAGCTTTGACGAACGACTCGATGATTGATAGATCGATACTTCAAGGAGGAAGCTACAACTTGATCTTGATGTTGCAATAGTCGAGTGCGACGGCGACAACCGAGACGCCGAGGAGGTAGAGGACGAGGACGACCGCGCCGGTCGTCTCGGAGGCGTAGATCGTGCGCATGTTGAGGTTCACCACGCCCGTCGAGAGGTTGGCGACCAAAAACACAAAGAGCTGGTTGCGCGAGATGCCTCGGAAAAGAATTGGCACACGCGGCCAAATGCTACAACACCATGTGGTTGGAATCTATCAACTTGATACAATCCCAACTGTACCTGAGCAAGTTGCCGACCGAGTGCGTCACGAGCACGACAAGACCCTGGGCGAGGACCCAGCCAACATACGGCACATTGAGCTACGCCACCCGAATAAAATCCACTGTCTCATCCAGTGGACGACGTACGAGACGGCGCGACGCCGGCGTCACGTGGCGCGTGAGAGCCTCGGTCGCCAGGTAGCAGGCAAAGCAGATCATAAAGAGCTCGGCGGCGATCCAGCGGCTCGAGCGCAGCATCTTGGTGCCGACCTTGGACTGGGAAAAGATGATTTGACCGATCGCGACCGACAAAATGTACAGCGGCAAGTAGCCTACGGCATCGTTCGTGCACAGGTCGCGCGATGGGATGCTATATGTACCACAGAGGCTAAAGATGCCTTCGCGGTTCATACTAAAGAGGTCGATGCGCGGCGCATGGAAGATGTAGTCCTCCACGCCGTAGTTGGAGAGCGCGAGTTGGTAGCCTATCGTTGAGATGGAGTTGAAGACAACGCATCGAACCATGTCGTACCAAACAGCATGAGCATGGCCGCGGGCACCGACACGAAGATCGAGCCAAAGAGCGAGAGCAGCGAGTACGTAAAGTAGAGACTCGCGAGCGTGATGTAAAAGTTCCAATGCACACCGTACTCGGTGACGTGTTCCTACGCGCGCGTGAGACGCGATGTGTTCCAGCCGATTCAGGTACCTGGTAGTTGACCTTCTTGACCGTAATGAAGCGGACAACGCCGAGAACGAGCACGGGGATCATGGGGCGGAAGAGCCCCCAAATCGCCCGGAACGAGACGCTACACATGTGAGACTATTGCAATTGTCCTCATCGTGAACATCGATTGTACCGAGACGACGCGTGCTTTGTGGTCGCGCCGCGCGCGTACGCCGACGTAAGCGCCGACGACATGATGAAGAGACCGACACCGCTGTCCATCTACAAAGCAGCTCGAATGAGACGACTGCCGAGGATTAGAGCAGAGGTACCAAGCTCACGCCAAAGGTCTCGGTCTTGGAGAAGCGCCGGGGAAAGATGGTAAAGTCGACGGCCAGGATCGCGACGACGCTAATGGCCATGCTTGTGAGGACAATCGCGATATCCGAGAGCTCCAACGTACGTGCACACCATCATTTGGGCGCGAAAGCACGTCACGGCGGGGTTCTCCTTGCCGTTGAGCAGCGTGAGCTTTTCGTTGCGCGCGAGCTTTTGAATTGGCTCGTTGGCGTGCTTCCAAGAGAGCACGCCAAGGATGACCGAGAAGACGCCAAAGAAGACTATCCATATGCTGCGTAAGCAGGCGAGACATGGACGGAAGCATGGTATACCAGTGATCGGAAGCGAGTACTCGGTGAACGTAAAGCCGATCAAAATGGGCAACACGAGCACGGTAAACTCAATGATAAAGAGGATCGCCGTGCGCTAGACGCCGCAGGCTCAGCAAGAGAGCATATTACGAGAGCAGGAGTACCTGGAGCTTGGAGCCGGCGAGAAGCCCCGAGCGCTCGAGGACGAACACGACTTCGTTGTAGAACCACATGCTCGTCTACAGCGGGTGGTTAGCCGGCCACGCCTGGTGCGCACACGCACCGAGAGGATCGAGAGGATGAGCGCGATCTCGCCCATCGTCGTGCCATTGTTGCCCGAGACGAAGGCTTCCTTGGCCTTCTTGTACGCGTCGCTGTCGATGGCCTCCATGCTGCTCCTGCTGCGTCACACACTGTGATGACGAAAGCCGAGTGGGGTCGAATAAACAACGCATTTTAGCCAATCCGCATTCAGCTCTATTTTAGCCAATCCCGATGCGCGTCATCACCGGGCACTCTTGATGTTACTATGTGGATACTAGAGACCTGCTTAAAGATCTGGACAGTCAACGCCATGCTATTGTTCGCTTCGAACGAATCGCTTTGCCCGAAGCAATCGTCCGTCACAACGAAGGATGCCACGGCGCTACCTCCTGTGGGCCGCCGCTGCTGCGGGCACTCTGTGCAGTGCAACGTCCGATGATGCGCTCTACACCCCGTGGTCGGCCAGCGGCGAGGCGACGACCGACTCGCCGATGCTGCTGCATTCTGCCAACGAAGGCTATACGCACCCCGTCTGCGATCGCGCGGTCGGCGGTATCACCAAGCCCGACTGCGTGTACCCGGTTTTGATTGCCATCTCGAGCTGCTTTCGCAACGCGACTGTTCTTGATTCGATCGGGTCGTGGATCGATCGCCTGCGCCGTATCACGCGCGACGAAGCCTACCTCATCGATGACCAGACGTGCTCGCTGGTGTGGCAAACCATGCAATTGGAGGACGACAGCTGCGCCACAAAGACGCCCAAGCCGGCGCCGACTCGGTTACGGAAGCCGACCCGCGCTCCGATTGCCATGCACCGGTATCATCGCCCGCAACACCACAGTACCCAACACGCGTGGTTTAAGGAGGTATCGCACGTGACGCCGGACAAAGCAGTACGCGGGAACGTTTCGCTGACAGCGTGGACACCGCGCCCGAATGCCGCCCTCATCGAGGCCCACGGGCGGCAGCTTTTGCACGCGCTGCTACCGGAGAAGCGCATCGTGGCGCTGCTGCCAGCCGACGAGGCCGAAGCACTTGTCGCGTCACTCGCCCACGACCGTGGTGTGACGGCCGTATCCAGTATCATTATAGCAAACGACGATCTGGCAGCGCTCGTAGACGTGGATCTGGTGCCATGGCCACATCTGGACACGTGGTACTACTGCTCGTCCCGGCTTTTGCATGGCAAGCCGACGCTATACCTCGACGAAAATGGTACGCGGCAGTGCGTCTGTCGGTGCCCAAGTGGCTCGGACGTCGTGCTGCGTGCGTCCGGCGCTGTCTGCGAGCCCGTCGACGAAGCGCCTGCGGACGGGCGATGCGTGCACGCCAACCGCACGCTTGTGTACGAGATTGCTTCGCCGTCTGTCGATCGAGATGACCGCAACCGGTGCCACATCCGCCGACCGCCGTCGATGATGCATGTGCCGTTTCCGCTGCAGCCGTCGGCCACCGTAGCGATCCACGTCCGGGCCGCAACGAACGCATCAGCAAACGATGTCTACGCGGGCGTCGTGCCGTCGTTGCCGTCAAGTGCATTGGACGACGTCGTATGGAATTCGCCGGGAGCATACACCATCGACGTTGCCAGCAATGGTACCTCGTGCCGCGCCTGTCTTGTGATCCGGGACCTCTACCGGCCACGCAGCACGCAGTCGTGTCCGAAAATTCTCTGTGATAGCGCCGTGTGCGCGTGGGCGGCACCAGGCCTTGCCGAGTATACGCTGAGCAACCTCGCAGCGGCGCAAGCCAACGTCGACCAGCACTTCAAGTACGGTATCAACGCCGAGAACGACGCGTGCAGTGCGGCGCGGTGCGATCTCACGTTGTTCTCACGGCGGGACTTTTTCGAGCTCAACGAGACAAAAGACAGTTTTGTGCTGGGGCAGACGTGGCTCCAAGCACCCGTCTCGGTCGACGTTGGCCGCCGCCTCGAGGCGTCCCCGTTCGGCGCCGACGACGGAAAGCTCCAGCTGCCATCGCCGGTGGCGCGACACCAGTGCACGCGCTGCAGTCACCTACAGACGACACTGCGAGAGCTCTGGGTGCCGTTTGACGATTGCAAGAGCGCTCCACCCGCACCGGAATGCAGCGGCGCGGATGTCGGATGCACGACACATCAGTGCTTGGTGGCCTCGGGGCCGACGCTGTTTCTGGCAGTGGCGACGATTGCGCCGGCGTATGCAGCCAAGACAGCACAACTCATGGACGATGTGTACCCGACGCTAGCGTACAATGGGTCCCAGGACGTTCATATCCAGCTCGACTGCTTCGCCTTGGGCGACACGGACGCGACATGCGCCCACAACACGTCGCTGCACGCGCTCTTGACGCTGTCGTCTGGTGTAGTGGACCACTCTTTGCTTGCCAACATGCAGTCCGACGGTTCTCGCTACGTCTACTGGCGACACCGGGTCGACGGCGGGCCGTGGATGGACAGTGCAAACGAGGCCTCCCTTCGCTTCCACCAGCTCGAGACGACTGTTCATGTCCAAGCGTGGTCGCAGTGCGGCCTGGTCACGGAGGCGAGCTTTCGGATTCTTCTGCACACGCGGGCCGCGGTGTGCGTCCAAGAGGCCTTTTCTGCCATGTGGTACCAAGCGTCGATGGTCGACGCCGGGGCAGACGTCTTCTGCGCGTCGACAGCAGGGATTGCCGAAGTGACGTTCGACTTTGACCCGTCCATGGGACTCAGCTGCGCGAAATCGGCCAAGTCGCCATGGACCTTTGGGCGTCTCGTGTGCTACGGCCAATATGCCACCACGTCCGAGAAGGCGGTCTTGGTCGACGCCACGAGCGCGGTTGTGCGTCGGTTTGCCGTGTACCTCGACCCATTGGCGACACACACGACGACTCTCAATGTCACATGCGCGTTCACATACAGCAGTGTCGGCTACAATGCGACGCATACGGCGCTTGCAACCACGAATCTAGAGATCACAGCGTGTGCGGGCGACATACCGGCCTTCACGACAGTGTGCCAAGGCATCGTAGTTGACCGCGAATGCAACAAAACGCGCGTGCAGTATGTCTCCAAGCGCTGCGACGGTTCCGCCGTGTGCCGACCGCTGCTCGCATTGCCCGTGGACGTCTACGACCCAACGATGGAGCTCGCTTCGACGCAGGACATTTACACGTGCCTCGTCGTCGACGACATGCTGCTCCTTCTGGCGTCGCACCCTGCGTCGCCGTTTGTGGGTGGTCTCGGTGTCCTAGCTGTCCTCGTCGGTATCGTCGCCGGGGTCCATCGCCACCAAAGGTTTCGCGCCGACCACGACACAGACTACTATGTCATGGTCGACGCCTAGTTCCACCAACGCGTCAACTCCCGAGACAGTTGAGCGTGCGAACGCAAGTTTTGTTAGAATACATTATTCAATCATTTTAAAAGCCACGTCGCCTTGCTTCACGAAATCAATCACGTTGGGTTGAAGACGTGGTTGTCGGCTCGAGTTGGTAGTTGTTGTTGAGGTGGGTCGTCTGTGCGGAACGCGGCTTCGTGCATGTTGGAGGCAGTCTTGGGGTCAAGCACGACGACGTCCTCTCTGCGCAGAAGGTGGGCGAGTGCCGTCGCACCTCCGTGTACACCGACGCGATGGCTGGTCCACCTGTATCTCTGTCGTTATATCTTTCAACTGTACATTGCATGTAAGACAAAATGATAATCCATCGAAAAATACATTATTAAATAGGAACCATGAGCTTACTGGCAGAGATCCGAGGCGTCGCTGGCGAGCGCGTCGATCGCGAGGTCGACCTTGAGCAATGTGATGAGGTCGTGCGTCGTGAGGTCGGCCTCAAAGTGCCGGAGCATCGCCAGCGTCTTGCGCACGCAGTCGAGGCTCGAGGCGACGTTGCTTGGGCCATCGGCGACGCGGCTCGAGAGCGCCTCAAGACCGTCGAGGAGCTCGACCAGCAAGTCTTTGTCCAAGCCCGCGTCCAGCGTCTTGGTGA